TCTACTTTTCTTCTTTTTATTTTTATTATGTTAATTATCATGATTTGTAATCGTCATTATTTTTATTATCACTGTTAGTAGGAGGTAGTTTATCTTTATGTTAGTTAAGGATTAGTTAGCGTTGTTCATTTATTATTGTCATTATTATAATAATAATTACTATTATCTTCATCGTTAACATTATTATCTAAGTACGTAATACTATTATTACTATTACTATTACTGATGTTATTGTGATTGTTATTATTATTTTTATCATATTCATTATTACTATTATTATTATTATTATTATTATTATTATTATTATTATTACTGCTACTACTACTATTGTTGTTATTATCATTATTTTTATTTTATTATTATTATTTTATTATCATTATTATTATTAACATTCTTCTTCTTCTTCTTGTTATTATTATTATTTTATTATTTTTATTATCATTATTATCATCATAATAGTAATAACAAGAACAATTATGATGATTAAGATTATGTTAATAAAAAATGAAAGTGATAATAATAATAACGATAGTTTTGACAGTAATGATAATTAAAAAAACATCAATTTTGATTAAAAAAATAATAACAATAATAATAATGATAATGACAATAATGTTAACGATATTAAAGTTAATGATAATGAGAGGTACAATGACGTACTTAATGTTTGAGGTATATTTAGTTTAAGGCTCAACGCACACACAAACGCACACAAACTCGCCCTGTAAACAACACAAAGAAACAAAGGGCACATAATTCTTTCAATCTATACATTAATATCTCAGTATGCACAACTCTGTCTTATTATCTATCTCTATATGTATATATCTATGCGCAATCTCTCTTTCCTTCTATTTCTATCAGTTATCCCTTCCCTTTATCTAGTCAAATATTATTATCCCAATTTCACACTTGATTTATCTTCGTTCATCTTGTCTAAGAGTTTCCGATGTTTCCAGATGCTCCTCTCGTGGCCATGCGTCGTCGTCGAAGAGTGAGGAGACGGACTCGTGCTTTTGTGGCTGCGTCGGAGAGGCAAAACTTTCCTTTTCAAGATATAACGATGAAGGCTGTTTTAAACGCTCGCACGGCCGACGATTTCCAACGGGATTGTTGTAGCTAGACATTAGATAGTATCATGTAAGCATACAAATCCTGGGAGACGGTGGACGTCACCATGAAGTGGACATCTCGATTTCTCGGGGCGTCTCGTCTCGGGTTGGCGTTCAGGTATCTGCTGCTGGCATGGATCGTCCCGTCCAAAACTACGTCATTTATCCAGATGCCGGTTGGAGCCTACACAAAACATGACATCTGCTTCGGGAAGTATTTCAAGGCCATCACCACATTTGGAAAACTGGTCCTTACCTCGTCCTTTTTGCTTGTTTACCGCACTCTCGACACCTCTGATGGAACCATGTCAGTCAAGGACTACTGTCTTCAGAAACTGGGCTGGTCCAACACGAAATTCAGGGAGACTTTCAATACATCAGAGAGGGACATCCTAATTAAAGACCCTCATGCGAACGATTTCACTTGTGACATCTCACTTGCCTTCAAATTGATCACAACTATCCTAGGGAACATAATAGAGCCCCTCAAGAAAGACCTCCGAGACCTGAAGAATATGAGGAACAGAGTGTGCCATGAGGACGTGGACATGGACGAGACAGAGTTGAAGGACCGGTTCAGCAACCTCAAGGTGGTCTGTCGGAACATCCTCGAGGGCGTGGGCACCTTGGCAGCTGAGGACACCTCAACTTTGGTGCTAGATATAGAGAAGGGACTGCAGGACTTGGCGGAGGCCAAACTAGATGTTCTTGATGTGGAAAGCTATTTGCATGACGTCGAGAACTTTCGAAAAGAGAAGCATTCAAAAATGATCACAGAAGGCAGAAAGGAACTGATGGATACATATTCCAAATTAAAGATACTAAATCCTTGCACTTGGCTAAGTGACAATAAGTTCATCAGCTTTGCTGTAGATAAGATCTTCACTGAAGTAAAATTGATGGAGGGAGTTAGAAGAGTCATGATGAATGACATCTTGAACATCACCTCACTAAAGCAGAGGTTCATCGCACGGTTGATCATCATCTCGGGGGTGATGGGAGCGGGGAAAACATCCCTTCACCGCTACATCTTGGACGAATGGTGCAAACGCTCACTGACTGTCATAGGCCTGTCAGCTATTGATATGGTTATTGCCATTGAGATGAAGACTGTCAGCAGCAGTTCACTAGTTCAGTTCCTAAGGGAGCAACTCCTGTGTCGCACCTGCAGGTCCTTCAGTGAAAATGATATCATTCCAATCTTACAAGACATGAACATTCTCTTTGCCATAGATGGTATGGACGAAGCAAATAGCCATGGGAAAGCTCTTGTCAGAGAAATAACACACAAATTCACGAACTCTCACATCATCGTCACTACAAGGCCTGAGCACTCACTAGAGTTGATGCAGATGGCTGAAGATCACATCGTCCTCCACATTGAAGGTTTTGATCACGAGAGTCAAATTCAATTCGTGGAAAAAGTTTTTGCTTCAATTTATTCACAAAATACACAAGGGAGGGAAGCAGAAAAGTTTCTGGAGTACTTGTCTACAACCTGCAAACCTCTCATGAGTCATTTTGCTCTTCCACTAACATTAGCATTGCTATTAGTGTTGTGGTTTGATGATTCAACCAAAATGTCCAGTATCACTACCATTACACGCCTTCACCACAAAATTATTGAGATGTGTCAACAAAAGCTGGTGGCCCGACTGGAGGCCAAGGGAGATGGTCATGCAGTATCTCTCACTCGTAAAGTGCGTCGCTGGGTCCTCCAGCTCGGCAAAGTAGCATGGAACATGATGGAGGAGGACCTGTTGTACATCAGTGAAAAACACGCTAATGAATTAATGGATATATGCGAGAAAGAAGGCTTGGACGCCATACAAACAATGTCAGCTTTCCTAAACTGTGAAATCAACGACACAATTACTGGTAACAGGCATCACTTCTCTTTTCACCATACGTCTGCCATAGAGTTTCTTGCTGCTATGTACATGGCAGACATTTCAGCTTCTCAAGGATCACTGGGGACCACCTTTGATGAGATTGACTGTACAGGATACAGGGATCTTCTAATGTATCTAGCAGGACTCTTGAAAATGAATGGAACACTGAACATGAAGCTGGCCAGTCAGCTGAAGTACGTGTTCTTATATAACATGAAAGTGTGCCCAAGTGATTACACCATCTGGTGGAATCTGCTGCGGGAGGGAGAAAATGACCAGTCTTTGTGTCAGATGGTGGGGTCGATCGTAAATCAAGCAGATGTTTTGACGGTCAATTCTTGGGATTCTCAGGAAACGACTGAAGCCAAAATGAATATATTAAAGCAAACTGGTGGTGCTCCTGCTGAAGTAGTTATAAATGTCCACTACAAAACGGCCTTCAACAGCTGCCCAGAATTACAAAATATTGTCTCTTTACTTGCAGCAGCAGAGAAGTCGAAAGTGAAGATCTATTTAGAAAATGATTTTCACGCCACCGCGGAAACAGAAGTGTGTGATCACTACATCGTGCCTTTGTTAAAGGTTAATAGACTAGTAGAATTGAAAGGCCACATTGGCAGGGATTTTGCATCAAACCTCGTTAGTGCCGCCAATGTCCAGTCCATTTTCGTGCGAGTCTCAGATATTCAGGCTCTAGTTAAGCTTGGTGAAAGCATGCGGAAACACAGAAGGTGGAAAGTAAAGTTCATGCCATCACGTCGTTGGACTCTGAAGTATGTAGAAATCTTTTTGGATTTAAAGAAGGACACCGAAGTGTCTCTCATACCAGACTTAAAGTATCACGGTACCTTAGTAGTAAAGTTATCAGGCATCAGTGATGCATCAGCCACTTGGGCGGGAGCGGTTCTGAAACGGCTCAGTAATCAGTATACCTCTGTCATCCTGCAAGCCTGTCAGATTACCGCTTCTGGAATGGAACAGCTTATCGGTGAAATAAAGGGAGTGAAGATCAAAGTGTTTCGTGTCATGTCTGATTACACAATCTCCAGGGACGAAGTGAAACACCTCGCCAAAAAGAGTAACATAAACATTGGCTGGAGAGCCTAACGTAATTGCAAACACAAAACATCGTTTTTTTTTTTAGAGGAATATGAAATTGTGATGTGTCTGCCGATGCTTCAACTGACATAAAGACAGTATAAGTCGTGATGCTAGGCTGTGATGTGGTTATCATTGATGGTAAGATGTATTTAATTTTATATGTTCATTCATGTTTTGTGTATGATTTTATTACATTACGCTTGTATTTTTCTCCGTCGTTTCATTGACAAATTACCCAGAGGCGACATGGATGACAAAGAAAAAGTTATATACTTATCTGAGCAATGTAACTAAACACTATGAATTATAGCCAGGTGAACACACACACACACACACACAACACACACACACACACACACACACACACACACACACACCACACCACACACACCACACACACACACACACACACACACACACACACACACACACACACACACACACACACACCAACACACCAACCACACACACCACACACGCACACACGCACACACGCACATCGATATGAACGGAACACCGCTTGACCTTCGCTTGACATGAGAAACCCAAGCATAAGAGGCCTTGAGATTAATTATGATAATAAAGATAATGTGAAGACCTGCGTAAAACCACTTCAGAAGTACCGTTTTTTTCTAGCTGCGAAGATCGCTTATAGTTTCCGAATGTCAGGAGTTAAAGATACAGACAGGAACACCCATGAAAGAGAGATTTAGATGTTCCTATGTTTAAGATCACACTGTGTAAATTGTTAAAAAATATAATTTAAAGATAATTTGTATTCCAAACTTTTTTTCGCTAATAGCACCCCATCAGACCACATAAGAAACTACCATCAGAGTGCAAAATACCGTTGTTAAACCATATCGAATAATTACACCATTACTAATGGAGATTTTTTGTGTCAGTTTGCTATTTAACAATGTAGACACACCAGTATATATCATTTGTTAAAAAATATCGTGTATTTTAGATGGCGTTTCATAATCCATATCTCATGTGGGAGCGCTTGCTATTTCGTGGAGGGGGCTGGGTCATATCATATTTGGCGAGATATTTTTAAAGGTTATAGAATATGTCTTCTCCCTGTCTCTCCCTTTATCTCTGTCTCTGTCTGTTTCTTTGTCTGTCTGTCTATCTGTCTGTCTGTCTGTCTGTCTGTCTGTCTGTCTGTCTCTCTTTCTCTCTGCCTGTCTGTCTCCGTCTCTTCTTCTCCTCTTTCTTTCCCTCTACCTTCTCCCCCTTTCTCTCTCTCTCTCTCTCTCTCTCTCTCCTCTCTCTCTCTTCTCTCTCTCTCTCTCTCTCTCTCTTCTCTCTCTCTCTCTCTCTCTCTCTCTTTCTTCCTCTCTTTCCCTCTACGTCTTTCTCCCCCTTCTCCTCTCTCTCTCTCTCTTCTCTCTCTCTCTCTCTTCTCTCTCTCTCTCTCTCTCTCTCTGTGTGTGTGTGTGTGTGTGTGTGTGTGTGTGTGTGTGTGTGTGTGTGTGTGTGTGTGTGTGTGTGTGTGTGTGTGTGTATGTCTATTTCTCTCTCTCTCTCTCTCTCTCTCTCTCTCTCTCTCTCTCTCTCTCTCTCTCTCTATATCTATATATATATATATATATATATATATATATATATACATATACACAGTATATATATATATATATATATATATATATATATATATATATATATGTATATATATATATATATATATATATATATATATATATATATATATATATATTATATATATATTATGTATGTATGTATGTATGTATCTTTGCTTATCTCTTTTTCTCCCCTTCTCTTATCTCATCCCATCTTTTTCTCTCCCTCTCACACTCTTTATTTTCCCTTACATTTCTCTCTCTCTTTTATACTCTCCCCCCACTCTCTTTTCTCTCTTCTTAAGTTTGTGTCACTCTCTCTTCACTAGCTCAAATCTCTCTCTCTCTCTCTGTCCTCCTCCTCCCTCTCTTCTCTCTCTCGCCTCTTCCTTCTTCTCTTCCTCCTTTTCTCTCTCTCTCTCTTTCCTCTTCTCTCTCTTCTCTCTCTTCTCTCTCTCTTCTTCTTTTCTCCTTCTCTCTCTCTCTCTCTGTCTCTTCTCCTCCCCATCTCTCCACCCCTTTTCTCTTCCTTCGCCTTTCTCTCTCTCTCTTCTCTCTCTCCCTCTCTTCTCTCTCCTCCCTCCTTCTTCTCCTCTTCCTCTTTCTCTCTCTCTCTCTCTCTCTCTTCCTTCTCATTCTTTTTTCTCTTCTCTGTCTTCTCTCCCTTTCTCTCTTCTCTTCTCTTCTCTCTTCTTCCCTCCTCTCTTCTCTCTTTTCTCCTCTCTCTCTCCTCTCTTCTTCTTCCCCATCTCTTTTCTCTCTCTTCTCCTCCCTTCTCTCTCTTCTGCCCCTCCTCTAACTTTTCTCTTCTCTCTCTCTCTCTCGTTCTCTTCTCTCCTCTCCTCTCTCTCGTTCTGCTTCCTCCTCTCTTTCTCTCTTCTTCCTCTCTCTCTCTCTCGTTTCCTCTTCTCTCTCCGTCTCTCTCTCTCGCTCCTCCCTCGTCCCCTCTCTCTCGTTCTCTCTCTCCTCTCTCATCTCTCTCTCGTCTTCTCTCCTCCTCTCTCTTCTTCGTCTTTCTCTCTATCTCTCGTCTCTCTCTCTCTCTCTCTCTCTCTCTTTCTTTTTCCGGTTGAAGCCCATGTTAAAAGCACAACCATGATATCGGCTCCGCTAGCTGGGAATGGCAAGAGGATTATCAGTGAAACTGTGGGGTAAAATCGCATTATCGGAGTAAACATCTCAGAAATTAGGTATTGCCACGCCCATTCCTAGCAATTAGAGGGTTTAGCCTGTTAAACTCCCCGGTCAGCACAATCCTCACCGTAAGTTCCGGTAAGATAGAGCTCTGGATCTCGCACCGTTAATTTCTTACATTAGCCAGTAAATCCAGAATGGCCAGTCGTCAGAATCCCACCTTTGCCGGGAATTGCAACCACTATCCGCTGTATTTTTCTTCATTAACAAGGTATTTTACAAATTAAAGGCGTAACTTTTCCCAGCGTCTGATACACAGCTTATCCGTGACGGAACTGATTTGAATTTCACTTGACTTCCCTTGGGTCTAGATTTTGTTGTCATGTGAATATCTATTACAGTCTTATTGGCTCTGATAAGTTGTGGCTAGTGTCTATCGTCATGTCACTGCCAAATAAACTCCAATTGGTTAATTTGATTTCCGTTGCATCCGTCATCCGCTACAGTTCCGCCAGACTGTTTCATCGCTTTTTTTTATCTTGCTAGAAGAGTACATATCATGGAGTGCCTGGAGTACCCTTACTATTAGTCTGCGAAGGAAATGCTGAATCTAGAGAGCAAAGGGCTGCTTTGGGATAGGTGGAGAGAGAAAACCTCGTCGCCGTACTAGTCGCC